ATATTTTTGCTAAAAATTACTTGTTTTACAACACATATCCTCAACAAGACCAGCACGGCTAGACAAATACAATTGAATGTCGTCAGCATAAGCATGGATATGGACATACTGACACACATAAAATACATCATTAACAAAAAGACTAAACAACACTTCACTGACACTTCACTTTTTGGGCTCTTCCCACAAGGTAGCTAGTCATAAGTTTAACAGAGCTTTCAGAAAACCAAAGTAATATTTGAGCTTTGCTCAAAGTACATAGGTCGTGATTTACTAAGTCAAATGCCTTAGAAAAACCAAGGAGGCAAAGAAGAGTTTAGTCACCGTTGTCAAACTGTATTCTTATGTCGTCAAGTATTTTTATCATAGCCGTAGAACAGCTATGCTTGGGTTTAAATCCTGATTGCAATGGGGATAAAAGGTTGTTTCCTTGGACAAAGTAGGAAATTTGCGCTGCCATCATAGACTCGCACACTTTCGAAAATACTGATAAAATGATTATTGCCCTATAATCACTGGGTTTTGTGGCAATATTCTTTTTGACGACAGGAATAATAACCGCTTTTTTTTCCATTCCGTTGGAAAACACGAAGTTGTAAAGCAGTGATTAACGATATGTGTGAGAGTTCCTAGAATAAATGGCAGCACAAGTTTGAAAAACTGCAGGGATATCCCATCCTCGCCAACAGCATTAGATTTGATGCTCATAATGGATTTCATAACTTCAAATTCAGTCACTCCGTTAAATTGAAACGTTTTCTTTAGTGTAAAATGGCTATTTAAATTATTAACTACAGGACTATCACAGCTTTTACTAGCACTACTAAAATAGGCATTAAGTACGTTTGGATCGATATTACACTCAGTCTTAAGTTTTCCATGCACATTAAGATGTTTTAAATTGCGCCATAGATCTTTGGAAGGCAGTGAAGAATTCAACTTGGAGCTACAATATAACCGCTTAGCATGTCTTATAACTGTAGTACCATTGTTCCGAGCAATTTTGTATTGTGACCAAACAAAGTCAGTCTTGGTTCGTTTCCATTTTGAGTACATATAACCTGTTACGAGTTAATATAGCTGTTCTGACTTTGCTTCTGTACCACGGACAAGAGCTTTCCATAGCCCGAACAGTACGTAGAGGGACATGGACATCAAATAATTTAGTCAAGGTATTTAAGTAAAGTTTCGCATCTACCGTCTCAACAAACCAACATTCGTCCCAGTTAACATTTGACAGATCAGCAGACCGATTATTAACATTTACAGACTTCAAATCACGATACATAAAACTAACAAGATTAGCAGGACAATTAAACGACACATTAAATAACAAAATATTGGTCAAGACTAGACGTGACAACAAGGTGTAACAAACTTGGATTCGAATTTTGTGCATATCTTGTTGGTACTAGTTTGTTGACTAGGCCTGCTGCGGCCACGTGGTCAAGTAGCTTATTGGCATATGAGTCGTTTAACAACAGATTAACATTGAAATCACCACATACAACAAAACGTTCATACTCTATTAAAAACACAGATAGCTCAGAAAAAAACGAATCTAACAAGTAACATCTATGGAGATTATACACACAGGACACTAATATTTTAGTCACACGGTCAGAAATTTCGGCAATAATAAATTCCGTATCACAGTTGTTTGATTCTGTTAAAACGCAAAATTTTAGGGTAGACCTGCAGTAGATTGCAACACCTCCTCCTTTCCTTTGTGTTCAATCGGCTTTGATAAGATTAAAGTTTGGAATGCAGTAGTAAAAGTCGGAGATGTCAGGATTAAACCACGTTTCCGAGGCGCAAATAACATCAACGTCAGATTTCCCAAAAATATCCCTAATATAATCAAGTTTGTCACCGTTAAGGCTTCTTGCATTGAAGTGCACCACTTTAAGGCCATTATAATGCTTACACAAAATATCAATTAAAATCTTGTGGCTTTCGTCAATGCAGGAAGCGGATTTCCTGTAGGGGGTTAAGTCCATAACACTGAGATGGACAAAAGCAACCACCAAAGGCATATAACACAAGGAAGAACTTTAACGCACAAATGTTAACGATTGCTATAAACGTGGGTAAATATGGAAAACAGAATTAAATGAGAAGAATGAAGGTTTACATATAGAAACAAAAAATAAGGAAATATTAAACAAATAGAATTTAGTACAGCGAGAAGGAGAGAAGAACATAAATATAACTTAACTTCTAGGCTAGTAAAAACTAAATAAAATAGAAAGTACACATTTTCGGTGAACAGTCAATACACATACATTTTTACTTCCGCGTATTGTTGAAAAGAGCGTTAATCTCGGCTCTGCTGCTCACCAGTATGAGCTCTTCATTTGGTTTTAGTCTCACAAAAATTTTCCCTCGTATAGAGAACACTGACGCCAGTTGTTTCTTCCGCCTGAGCTCTGAAGCATACGACATCACATATCGCAATTTTTTCTGCAGGCTCTCATGTACAAATATTGGCCCATAGCCCGGCAACTCAACATCAGAGAGCGCAAGCGATCTCTTTTTGGATCTGCAGAAGGCCGCAATAGATTTCATGAGCTAATTTCGATCGTGTGAAGAGAACAACTTTTTTCAATGGGACAGTTGTCTCTGCTCTTTTGCCCATTACTTTTTACGCTTTTTAGTCGAAAAGCATCTCGCACAGGTGGGGTTTTATGCTGAGTTGCACCGCAAATCTTTGCACAAAGTTCAGGTAAATACTCACCGGCTGCCTGAGGAATCCCGTTGACTAATAAGTCAGTGGAGACTGCGCTGCTTTTGAGAGCGCTAAGCTGAGTCTGAACTGCAGCCAGTTCATTGCGAAGATTGAGAACTTTAGTACATGTGCTCTCAACTGCAGCCACATGCATAGTTGCCAAGTTGGTGCTTTAAGCTAACGTTAGCTCCGATAATTACAGTTGAAAAATTAAAGATGAAGTAATTGAGAAAGTGAGAATCGTTAAATATCTAGGTATATATATCGATGATAAGTTAAAATTTGAGGAACATGTTGACTACACAGTAGCAAAAATTTGTAAAAAAATTGGTCTCATGAAAATATCATGTAAGTACTTAGGAAGGAGGTATAAGACTCTGGTCTACAGATCTATAGTTGAACCACATTTCATATACTGTCCAACAATCTTTTTTATAGCAAGCGACACACAAATAGATAAGCTTCAAAAAATTCAAAATAGGGCTATGCGATTTATCTTGAACAAGCGGTACGACACACCCATACAGGAAATGATCGCAGAATTAAACTGGCTGAGCGTGAAATAGCAAATTTTCTATCACGCTATGAAATTCGTGTTTAACATAAAACAAGGTAGACTCCCAGATTATCTGAGTGATATCCTACGATATAATAGTGAAACCCATTCGTATTTCTTGCTGAGTTTTTGCGTGTTATTGACATGCTTGTTTGCTTGTTATTTGTTTGTTTACTTATTAAGCAGGAATATACAAGATCAGTTGAGTAAAGGTGTTCGCAGTCTCACGAAAAACTTACAGCTACCTGTGCGCAGATCAGTAGATTGAGGAAGGTTTTAAATTATTTACGCGGGAAAACACAAAAACGTAAGAGCACCACTAAAACACGTCTTACTCTGCCAACATCTCTTCTCTGATCTTATTAAAAGAAAATGTATAAATCAGCTTTATATAGAATGCCTTCGTTAATTAAGGTAAAAGATTTTCTTAAATATTACATTTTTACCACACTCACATATTGACAAGGTTTAACCATTTATTTTATAATTTTAATTACATATTTGTTGATAAAAGTAAAGTTTATTCCTTAATAAAAACAAAAAATCTACAAACTTTCGTAAAAATTTTGAGTTTTTTATTTAATTTTTTTTTTATATTTTGCAGTTTTGTATAATAAAGTGCAATTTAAAGTGCCTGGTACTTACCGTTGTTTTTTGGATTTTTTTTTATTGACGATGTCAGTCATTTTCTCCCATATCATCTAGTATGCGGTACGACGCAGCTACTTTTAACTTGCACTTTGTTACATTAAAATATAATGGGGTACGAAACTGCGTACTGAAAATATTTCTAGGAAATCTAATTAAAAAGCTGGAAATTTTTACGAAAGTTTGTTGTTTTCTTAATGTTGCACAAAGACTCTACCTTGGATTTATACGGTTTTTGTTAAAGTATAATCTGTATTTTTATAAACCGAATAAGTACCGAATTCAAAGGCCTCTTTTATCCATTAACAATAACCTAAAAATGCTTTTTGTTAAGAAGTGTACCTGTAAATATGTACATACACATTTATGTTAAAAGTGTAAAATATGTAAATGTACGGACATAATCTTTCCCATGAATACCATCAAATCATTGGCCTTCAAGGGAATTTATGTATGTGGGCATGTACTAATAAAATATCTTAGCAAAATTAAAAAGTGGATACAATTTACAGTCGATAGGTACAGTTTTTATATAGATTTCGTACTGAAGAAACAATTTCATTTCCCAACACTGTTTCAGATTATTGAGTACTGTACTAAAAATGTATGATTAGGACACAAAACCAGTATTTTACTAGACACCTACAGCATTGCAACCGAGTTTTTCTAAGCCGTCGTCTCGTCAATAAACCTAAAACAAGTTCATATATTCTTTTAATGTATCTTTTGTACGTTTTCCTAAATGAAATATTCAGGCATGCTCTGAAATTCGTACGATTTGATATCGGTATGATTTTGTAAATATTTTTATAGATTTTTAATCAGAAAACTCTAAATTTGGATTAAAACGACTGATATAACATCGCTGATGTTTCTGCTATAGTTTCTATATACAATCTTCAATCTTTTCATCAGAAATAACGATCAATATTTAGCAAATCGTACCGATTTCAAATCGTGCGATTTAGAGAACGTGCCGTCAAAAGCCGAATCGACTTTCTTAAAAAAATAAAACATCCATATTTTAATATAATTCTAAACTTTTGTACTTATATTTTGCACTTGCAGCAGCAGAGCGCAAGATTTCTTGGGCCAGGTGCAAGGGAAAAAAGTCCAACTCCACCTGTAGCACATCAAGGGAGCACTCATTGCGGCAGTGCTGCAGGTGTAAATAACAATAGGTTACTTTATCGGTCATGCTCTTCCTGTCCAGACCTTTGCGATTACAGTACAAAGCCTTTCGGCTCTACGTTTAGTGAGCCGTTCAAAAGGTGCGTTCACACAGAGATGGATATACTTATTTCACTCATACTCATATTGTTCGAACCTTCATACCTAAGCTAATCTTAACTTAAAAATATTCATTATTCAATTTTTATTTGTAGCTATGAGACCGCAGACCGTGCAGTATTCAACGAAACTGCACTGAAATATGCAATTAGTCGAGCTCGTCCTGACTGTTTGGAAGTGAATGAGGAGACTACCTCGGGAATATCCTTTAAAACGGAGCCATATGGCCCCCCAAGTAGCCCGGAGTCCACAACTGAAACACAAAATCTGCCTCGAAACCTTGAAGATTGTGCGGGTTGCGGCCGATTCATACAGGTAGGTTTAAAAGCATATATGCCATACATGCATATCTGTGAACTTTTGACAAAACAACATCTGTGCTTTCTGTAGGTTGGAATTTGTAGTACATTATAAGGAACAGCCGTTTAAAAATTTGATAGTTTTATTTAACTTTCATTAAGATAGCATCTTGAACTACTCCTATTAATGACTAAACATAAAAATGTCATTCGACAACTCAATGAATTACAGCTTTGAAGAGAACATGACCTCACTATAGAGAAGATGTTACATATATACCTGTCACAGGGAAAATTTAAAGTGATTCAGCCAGCAGAGAAACGTAAGTTTTGCTGACTGTGCTGCTTTGGTAAATTTTTCGTACAAAGCCGATCGAAATTTTTGTTTTCTGAAAATACTTATTCATGTTAACTATTTAAAAACAAAGTATTTATAAAAATTTAAATAATCCATATTTTAAAATAAGTTTTTGTTCGGTTTTCAGTAACTATGAAAATGCACTGTATAGTTCAGAAGAATCGAATGAATTACAGCTTTGAAGAGAACATGACCTCACTAGAGAGAAGATGTTACATATATACCTGTCACAGGGAAAATTAAAAGTGATTCAGCCAGCAGAGAAACGTAAGTTTTGCTGACTGGGCTGCTTTGGTAAATTTTTCGTACAAAACCGATCGAAATTTTTGTTTTCTGAAAATACTTATTCATGTTAACTATTTAAAATCAAAGTATTTATAAAAATTTAAATAATCCATATTTTAAAATAAGTTTTTGTTCGGTTTTCAGTAACTATGAAAATGCACTGTATAGTTCAGAAGAAATCGATTTTAACGGAAAATTTGATTAGAAAAATTTCAGAAAAACAACCGAAAACGTATCAGTTTCACAACCATGTTCGGTAATTTTCTAGATTTTCCATATTTCTCGAATGTACATTTTAGTGGGAGAACGCATCCGAAAACTGACCGAAAATTGAATCGGAAAACGGATGAAAATAAGATTTGTATACGATATAGTCCGTTTTTGGGAATATTTTGCTGCTTGGGGACCCACAGTTCGAAAATAAGTGAAAAATTAATTTCAAGTTAACAAGTGAATTTGATTTTTTCGTTTTTTTTTCAGCAGTGTTGCCACCAAAAAAATACGAAATTCCTCAAAAACAAATGAAAAATGCTCAAAATCCGAACAAATTACTCAAAATTTTCTTATTACAGATATGAGTATTGTGTACTGCATATTATTTACAGGTACTTAGTACAAAAATTAATCACATTCTCCAATTCAATTGGTACATTTGTACTTGCGCTTCAAACAAAGTACCAGCATTGTTTTTTAAGCCTTGGTTTGTATATAATATTGCTGCAACTATATCAGTGCTCAATCTGGTCCTCAAGTCAGTCCTACACATTTTTAAACTACTAAATATACATTCTACTGGAGCGTTAGAAAAGGCCTATATTAGCAATTCAGATATATTTTTTTTAAATTGGGAAACTTATATGAGCCTGAAGAATCCTTTAATTCAAAACCTTTTTTTTATAATTTTCTGGATCTAATGAGGAATCAATATGAAAATCCTTATGATCGAACAATGCGTGTTCTCTCCATTCGTTACCGAGATTTTGCAAGTTCAAAACACATAAGTTGAAAATATATCGATGGAATGAAAAAAATTATCGATAACATTTTGAATATTTAGCAGCAAATGCAGATGTGCTTAAGCGCGAAAAACACCACACAAGCGGCTTGACAAACCAAGCGAAATATCCCTTTCCTTAAAGCTATTTATGTTGCGTATGGTGGTGTTTGAAGGTTTGACAAGCCGTTTGAGGAAAATGTGAAAAAATCAAATTTTTTTGATTTTCTGGCCGCCATGCTGACGTAAAATCGTCTCATTCGCAACGTAATTTTTACCGAATGAGGGCGCAAGAGAGAAAAATCGAAGAAAACCAAACCCTTTTACATAGTGAACCGGAAGAAATTTAAAAGTCTTTGCTTGAACGAGACCTGTATGCATGGTGTATGGCGACATGGGAAAAGTAGGTTTGAAGAATGTTTGACAAGCTGTTTGCAGTGTATTTCGCTCTTTATAAAACTTCGGAAAGCTTTTTGTTCAAACATTTGCAGAGCGATTCAACAAATCTGTTGTGAAAAACATGGTTGCATATGTTATCTGCAAATATATCGAGGGAAAATTCCTCAAAAAAGACTCAAGAGCACCCGAAATTCTTCACGTTTTGAGGAATTACTCACAAAGTGGCAATACTGCTTTGAAGTGAATTGCTGAAGAAAACTGATGCAGCCAAAAGGGTAGGTGCCTTTCATTAAAATTAACAACTAACATCCCTAGTTTAGGCATACTGGTGCTAAATAAAGTAAATTGACATTATTACCTTTTCAAAAGCAAAATAAAATCCATTGATATTATTGCTCTTCAAACATTAAATTTGCGTAGCTTCGCGGCGGCCCGCGTCCGCGGTGATATTAATGCTGACCTTGTATAACGCTTGACAGAAGAATTTACACTATTAAATTGCAAATCAGATTTAACATCAGTGATGACAGGTAATAAGTCCCAGATGGGTTCTAAAATCACAAAGTAGTTTTTGTGCAGATTGCAGATAGAGGGTATTATTGAATATAAGCCCTTGATCTTTTACATTTTTATATTTGTAAGGTCGGTGTTATGCAGAAATTTTATTTGGCAAACTGCGTGCAATTGTCGTTGCAGCAAACTCGGAGAGAGTGAGTTTGGCGACTCTCACAGCAAACTTATTGTGACGAATACTGCGGCAACGCGAAGCGAATAACAAGAAATAGGCAGAATGTTCGAGGAATGACGTAGAATGTTCCACAAAGAGAAACGTCAAGTTGGATGAACACTGCCAACAGCGAGAGAAAGAGAATGAGCGATAAACTTCAGAACGTTCTAGAGTTGCCATAAGTTCGAGCGCAGGTATATAAGGGCGCCGCCACAGCGAAGTGAGTTAGTTACAAGTCAGCAAGCTACAAGTAAAGTGAGCGGAGAAGTGAGTTGCGAATAAGCAAGCTATAAGTTTAATTGTGTTAACAAATAGTAAAGCGTTGTTATTACTTTAACAAGTATTGTAAAGTGTTTTTACTGTATTAGCAAGTATTGTAAATTGTTTGTTGTACAATAAAGTTAATTGTACTACAATTTGGTCATCATTAGCATTTATTTAACAATCCAGCGATACGAGCCCGAGTATATTTGGGAAATCCCTCAAGGTTTCGAGGATAATCGTAACAATTGGTGTCAGAAGTGGGATTGTTAAATAAATCCCGAAGGAGAAACTACTAAAAATGGCGAAAATTCAGGACTTAAAAATTGAGGAGCTGAAACAGGAGTTGGAAAAGCATAATTTTGCCACCTCCGGAAGAAAAGTGGAATTGTTATCCCGGTTGCGAGAGGCTATGGAAGC